TACTACATTGACAAAAGTCACACACACACTAGTGTACGCACGGTTGGCTGTGGGAATCGTAGTCAAATGAAATTATTTAGATAATTTGAAAGATTGAATTTGTTTTTCATTTCTTATACCTACCTCAGAAATATACTTCGATACGAAATATGAATACCTGCTCCAAAGACTGCTTGGCACTGGAAGCCCTCTACTGGTAGTGAGATGTTAGCTCTGGACTTTGAACTGGTTTTGTCAGTTATAATAAGACCTTACCTACCTGCGGACTTGATGGAGTGACCTGAAGGTGTAATTTGGTGATTACAACAATAGGAACTCCTAGACTAGTGGAACTAGGTGTGCCGAGTTTGGGTTCGTTTTGTTGGTTATGATGAGACCTTACCACCGGACTTGATGGAGTGACCTGAAGGTGTAATTCGGTGATTACAAGTGGAACTCCTAGACTAGTAGAACTAGGTGTGCCGAGTTTGGGTTCGTTTTGTTAGTTATGATGAGACCTTACCACCAGACTTGATGGAGTGACCTGAAGGGGTAATTCAGTAACTACTGCTGGAATTTCTGAACGAGTAGAACTAGGTGTGCCGAATTTGGGCTCCGTTTTGTTAGTTATGACGAGTCCATACCTCCGGACTTGATGGAGTGACCTGAAGGTGTAAATCGGTGATTGCAACTGGAACTCCTAGACTGGTGGAACTAGGTGTGCCGAGTTTGGGTTCGTTTTGTAGGTTATGATGAGACCTTACCACCGGACATGATGGAGTGACCTGAAGGTGTAATTCGGTGATTACAAGTGGAATTCCTAGACTAGTAGAACTAGGTGTGCCGAGTTTGGGTTCGTTTTGTTAGTTATGATGAGACCTTACCACCAGACTTGATGGAGTGACCTGAAGGGGTAATTCAGTAACTACTGCTGGAATTTCTGAACGAGTAGAACTAGGTGTGCCGAATTTGGGCTCCGTTTTGTTAGTTATTACGAGTCCATACCTCCGGACTTGATGGAGTGACCTGAAGGTGTAAATCGGTGATTGCAACTGGAACTCCTAGACTGGTGGAACTAGGTGTGCCGAGTTTGGGTTCGTTTTGTAGGTTATGATGAGACCTTACCACCGGACATGATGGAGTGACCTGAAGGTATAGTTCGGTGATTACAAGTGGAACTTCTAGACTTGTAGGACTAGGTGTGCCGAGTTTGGGTTCGTTTTGTTAGTTATGATGAGACCTTACCACCAGACTTGATGGAGTGACCTGAAGGGGTAATTCAGTAACTACTGCTGGAATTTCTGAACCAGTAGAACTAGGTGTGCCGAATTTCACTCCATCAAGTCCGGTGGTAAGGTCTTATCGTAACTAACAAAACGAAACCAAACTCGTCACACCTAGTTCTACTAGTCTAGGAATTCCATTTGTTACCACCTGATTACACCTTCAGGTCACTCAATCAAGTCCGGTGGTAAGGTCTCATCGTAACTAACAAAACGAACCCAAACTCGGCACACCTAGTTCTACAAGTCTAGGAGTTCCACTTGTAATCACTGAACTACACCTTCAGGTCACTCCATCAAGTCCGGAGGTATGGACTCGTCATAACTAACAAAACGAAGCCCAAATTCGGCACACCTAGTTCTACTCGTTCAGAAATTCCAGCAGTAGTTACTGAATTACCCCTTCAGGTCACTCTATCAAGTCCGGTGGTAAGGTCTCATCGTAACTAACAAAACGAACCCAAACTCGGCACACCTAGTTCTACCAGTCTAGGAGTTCCAGTTGCAATCACCGATTTAGACCTTCAGGTCACTCCATCAAGTCCAGAGGTATAGACTCGTCATAACTAACAAAACGGAGCCCAAATTCGTCACCCCTAGTTTTACTCTGCAAGAAGTTCAAATAGCGGTCACGAAAGTACACCTTCAGGTCATGCCATCAAGTCCAGAGGTAAGGTCTCATCATAACCAACAAAACGAGCCCAAACTCGGCACACCTAGTTCCGCTCGTCCACGAGTTGCAGTCGTAGGTAAGTTTATATATCCTACTTATTTTTAGCTAAATAAAAACTGTGAGTATAAAAATAATAATTTTATCACTTGTCAAGTACCTATGTTTCCAATTTGTTTTTTTCTAATATTTTGTGTATGTACAGCGATCTTTTCAGAATGAGCCGCTGCAAACAGGCGATACAGTGTCCACTCACGACGGCGGCCGAGCGCGGACTGTGGTTTCATCGAAATCTTTGTACAATAAATCAAAGCAGGCACCAACAATAAAATAGCCCTTATTGCAATACATTATGATTCATCCATATTACCAAAATATGTGAAAAAATGTGCATCAGTTTTTATTTTTTTTACGACTATTTGTGACATTTTGTTAAAAAATAAAGCCAGGGTTTTTTAATTGAATATGTCTGTCATCTTATAGTATTTTTTAAATTTTTTAAATATGTTGATAATAGACCAAAACATGTACCGAAACACAAGCCGGTATCGTTAATTTTGTAGAAAATGGCAACGAAAGTTCGTTTTTACAATATAAAAAACTACTATTTTCAACAAAAGAGTTACAGACATTTGCAGATGAAGAACCAATCTATACATGGTAGTTTTTACTTATATTTGATTTGGTTTAGTTTTGTCACAAAATCTACCGAAAAACACCCTAATTTTGGTTGATTTGCAAACGCGTCCTTAATGTCCATATGCTTATAACAAAAACACAATAGCCTAGTCCTTATACTGTCCTTTAATAAACACTAAGTAGTGGCGCGGCATTCCGTATCATAAGATATTCTCAATTTTCTGTACAGTCAGGTTAGACGCAGACGCCCCAAGAAAGAAAGTAAATAAACATTGCATTCGTGAGGTAAACATACTCTATGCCAGACTGGTTTCTCCGCTGCGATCACAATAGATATAGGTAGGTACGTGTATAACTGCTATATTTTAAGTAACTACAAAATACTATCATAAACGAAAAGGTACATCTTATTGCTTTAAAAATGCTTAGTTGGATCTGAAGAAATGATTTAGAACATTATAATCAACAAGTGGCTTGCCAGGCTTTGCTTTAACAACCAATCAACAACTAATTCAGCCTAGTCCTGAGGCTAAAAATCAAATACCACGGCAAAGGTTCCGGCTATGTGTTTAGTTCGCGGCCGGCTTCGAATCCCACACAGAATTTTTATATACCTAGTACGTATGGCCTACAATTGATTGTTCCGGGTAAAAGTCCTACTTGGGATAACGTTTTTTTTTCTAAATAAAAATCTATCAACTAAATAAGTAGGTGTTAATGCGCTAATGCACTGGCTCTAATTAAAATTCGAATCTAGAATTTGTGACTTTGTAACGAGATATTCTAACCACTGCGCCGCAAAGTCGTTGTACACAATATATGTAATATATTTTATTTATAATGTGGTAAATTCGTAAGACTATCCATCATCACATTTCGTCTTTTGCGTTCGTTTGTGATGGGTGTTATTAGAAATTCTCAGAACACTATTATACTCTCGTCTCAGTTATGCCAGACGTAAAATACCCACGCGACTACAAGGAGAAGTGTCAAAGAACGAGACCAATGGTAGTACGATTGCCATTCCGTCTACCAATAACGGCAAATCCTGTCTGCAAGGAGGGAGGGTCATGTCAAGTGGTGGTTTCCAGATCGGTAGAAAAGAAGAAGATTCCTGCTTATAAAATGTGGCATTTTTTTATACTTTCAAGAAAACGTATAATGTTTAGAGTTCTGTACAACAGTAGTTACCAAGGCTTTAAACGATTAAAACTACATAACATGCAAAATGAGTAAGTATACGTCTACACTACACCCCTAATGATTTGGAAAAGTTTTGAGGGCATGGAATAGTGTAGAGTTGGAAGTTTTTACAGTGTTTCAAATTTCCTATATGGAAGTTCTGTAATGGGTCTGATTTTTGGAAAGTTAAAATTAGTATATTAGCTCCATGATTTATATTGTCCCTAGAGTTCCGTTATAGGAACAATTTTTAAGATTTGTGTGCAACTGTGTGTTCGTGTACCTATGAGGTACCTATATTTTTCATATCGGATCGGATTGCTGTCGTTTGGAGCCGTCAAAACTAAAAAATACCATCAAAGTATTCAGTAACAGCATTACTAAGATTTGTGAATTTTTTACTGGCATCATTTTCATCATGGATTCGCTACGCCATGTCATACTATCTATGGCGTAAGAGGCAACAGAGGAAAACTTAAATAGTGATGAGCTATTGTGAACGAATTAATGTAAAAATCGTGGTGGGAGGCTGACATTCAATTCCAAAATGTCGTCATCTAAAATCTGCTGACGTGGGCCATGCCTGCCCCTTTTGGCACGCCGCAGATATTTGATCATCTTTGCATTAAAAACACACACAAACATTATAGTTATAGATAATAATATTATAATAATAGATAATCTTTAAAATTACAATTAACATTTACCATTAGAGACGGCAGGGATCGAACCTGGGGATACTCGCTTATTAAGTACTGATTTAACATTTGCTCTCCAGAAACGGAAAACATTGTGAGCCTAAGCTCTGAATCATCCAAATTTAAAATACCTACTTAGGATGTAATTTTTTATGGGTGGCTTTAGCTTATATATTTGGATATTTATCAACAAATTATAAAAACGACGTAAGTTGCGTTGCGAGGGAATGCGTACTACTTATGGCATTGCTGAACTGAACTGAGTAGAGTACACTGGTGATTCATTTCTCGGAATTGACCTTGCTATGAGTCATTCGTTGGAAGGCAGAGTTGGGGATACCGCGCCTCACGCCTGTCTGCCGGCTGCTAGCTAGACGCATGTCGTTTCTGCGAGTTTCTTGGTAATTTGTGTTAAAGATTATATAAGACGATAGTATCTAAAATGTGCTCTGATAAAAAAACTGATTAAAATATGAACTGATAAAAATATTTTTATCGCCACTTGTAATTATTTTAGTGTTTCTTATGTTGGATATCATGATAACAACCATGACGTCATTCATATTATTGAAGGTGAGTTATTGATTATTATTTACAAATTGTAAAATTTAAGCCTTCTGGAAAATTTTAATTTCTTTTCATGAAATTTGTAAAAGTCGCAATCATTAAAAGTTTCTTATTTGACTAATGTTGACTGACGTTGACAACATATTAACCAAACAAATGTAAATGATACTACTTATAATTTATCTCTTTCTATCTCATAAGAAATAAAATAGTAATGACAAGGGTATTGCATTGTGTTCTAACGTTTTTAAATTGCCTGGTTATCCCTTTGCCCATTATCATTGGTAAGAAAGAAATAGGACGATTATAGCTTTGATAAATGTAAATGACAATACAATATACGATACGTATTTTATATAGTTTCATAGTATTTATTTATCCATGAATGAATTGTTTTGATTAACATTAAACAAAAAAGTATCTTTTACGAAATTAATAACTTTTTTTAACGATGGTCTTTTTATTTGCATAAAACAAAGAGAAGTAATTAAAAAGTTGTTAGCTTTTTAGTGTGTGACACTTACAAAGCAGGTTTCCATCAACTTTCAGACAAATTCTTTTTTGTTGAGGATGAATAGAGAAGATAACGTGAACTGGTTTCATGGGAAAATATCACGAGAATCTGCTGAGAAACTATTAAAAGAAGGTAAATAGTTTCAATAAAATAGGTTTGATAATGAGAGATTTTTTTAAACTGTATGACTTGATAGGATGTATTTATGCTTCAGAGGGAGAAGATGGTGTTTTCTTAGTACGTGAAAGTAATACTTCGCCTGGAGACTACGTGCTATCTGTCTTACATCAAGTGAGTGTTTGTTACAATTCTAACCTCAAAATTTCTATGAGTTTTCAAGTTAAAAGTTTCCATTACAATTGCAAATCTTTATATTATTTTCCTAAACCAATTTAATCTTTACTTTTTTGCCTATTTAGTAATTTAATTTGTCTCATTTTTTACAACAAAATTTTAACCTGTACTGTTTAAATTCATGTTAGGGAGAAGTAGTACATTATCAAATAAGGAGGCATGGAGAAGACGCTTTTTTCTCCATTGAAGAACATACAACTGTTCATGGACTGGACACCTTAATTCAACATTATCGTGGAGATTCCAATGGCCTTGTTACACGCTTGTCAGTTGTCTGCAAAGGTCAGCCTCCTCCACATGAATCTCGAACACAAGGAACAACAAATTTATTGCATCGGTGAGTTAATGATATGCACACATTACTTTTCTTTTTCATTTAATAGGACTCATTCTAAGAGAAATATATTTTTTTAACATCTACATTGTTATCAAAGTTAAACATCTTTTATTTTTGTTATTGATATCAATTATCTAGTATAGAGTTCAAGAAAATGTATTTGGTTTCTTCTTGTAAGATGCTAGAATATGTTAATTTTATGATTCTCTTTAAAATATAAGGACTAAATGTTTTGTCTTAACTATATAAAATGTATTTCATTAATAACCTCTTATACTACTTGGAATTTGTTGCGGTGGTTGAAAACAGGAGCATGTCACACACATAGAGCATATGTAAATTACATGTTGAGTTACCCACCTTTATCATCTTTATGGCGTGGCGTACACCATGTAGTGGCGGTGTAAGAATATCCACTATCCCAATCATCCCATAGGTGTCGTAAGAGGTGACAGAGGTAAACACTACAACCCACCAAGTTAACTTTACCATATAGTGGCAGTGTAAAAATATTCACTATGCGGATCAACCTGTGGCTGTCATAAGAGGTGAGAGAGATAAACAAGGAGATGGGGCAGCAGCTTCTTCCTAATAATGACAAAAAATTTGAAAATTCTACGAATTTCTCATGAGGCAATCTATGGGAGAAGTCTTTGTTCAGCATGGACTTTAATAAGCTGTAACAGTAAAGCTAAGCACCCAGCTACCCAATAATGTAATTGATGCTCGATAGTATTAGATAAATACTACTTTTTTGGTGTTAATATGGTGTTTTATATTACTGGAGTGAAGTTTCAAGTTACTTTGGCAGATTGTTATTGCCTTTTTTAAGAGATTCATAATTAATATCTGTGTTACTATGTTTATATGTGTACAACTTTTTACCGGACTGCCCCAAATGGAGGGTAAAGTCTATGAGTGTATGTTTCTAAATATGTCTATTTCTTTGGAAAAATCTTTATTCTAAATGCTTTTATGGATTTTAACAGCTAACTGCTGATTTAGTCAAACCCGTCTTGTGAAAGTGTCATCAACATAATATTTGATTTTTTCTTCTTACAGTAAATTTTACCCTAATATATAATAGTTGTTTTTTTCTTACTTAATGTTTTAACAATGGGTTTGTTTATTTAATATGTTATTATAAAATATTTAAGTTTCAAATTGTTAAACCGATTGTCAATAGAGGTTATATTAACTGAAGAAGGAAGTTCCATTAAGACAAGTGTCATAAATTGTCCCTAATTTTCCTTCACTTACAATCATACAAATGGGGTTCAACATTTTCAAGTATATCTACAAAGGACATATATATTGAAGAAGTTTGTTATAAAATCAGATATTATTTTTTTTATTCTTTCATTGTTTTAGCACATAAATTGTAAATAAGTATTTTCTAAAAACATTAAATCTTTCAATAGAACAGTTATTTCCGGTTAGTGCTACTGCATATCAGATTATAATTAGCCATGCTATTTTCTTTAGTAATTTTTCAATACCATACCTGATTGGAATATTGATATAATAGCAATAACTTTTTGGTTTTCTTTTATACAAATAGAATTTAACTTTTGATTTTCAACAATCAAAAAGTTGATACAATTATCAAAGGAAAAATAAGAATTCAGAATAAGTGATATAAAAAAATGATTATGTATGTAGATATAATTCAAGCCCAGGTTATTGCCCTTGATTTTGACTTGCACTGCATTTTAAATAAATGTGCTTTAAACATTGACAAGTTTATTGATAATTTCCTGTTTGTGCAATGTTCAATGCACATGCAGTATGAATGTTGAGCAAAACTTGTTTGTCTGTTGTTTAAAGTTTTTTTTATAACGGGCCAAGATCCACTGCTGCACATTGATTTTCTCCATATTATTGACTGGATAGTAGGGATATTTGCCATAGTTGCCTTACTTGGCAAGATGTTGAGCAACTGAAGCTTTATTATTCTTAAAGTTTCAATATGCGTAGACCGTCGAAGATTGATATACCTCTGGTATAGCAATCCCCAATTTGCTTACAGTACCGCAATCTGCTACAGTATGGTAAATTTGCTTGCTGCTTTCCGTTTTGTTGGCATGATATATTATAACCCTGGAGAATGAGCCGAGTCATACTGTTTGTAAATGTTTTCATATTTAATTGTACCACATATTATATTGTAAATTGATATTTAAAAAAAGTTCAACTGGTTTTCGTTGGCATAATCTATTTAAATATCTGATGATAAGGGTGAATATCTCCTCTGGCTGCATATCAGCCATGGTATTCATTTTCTATCTATCTATTGTGGTGCTATAAGTGTTGGTGTCATAATCTTCATATGTTTGGTGGTTAGGTTGGAACTTTCATCGGAAACAAAAAGACAGTCATAGCATATCCAGAACAGAAAACCAACATTATCACATCACTATTTAATAGTAGTAGTAAAGTACTAGTATGTGCTAATGATAGTGTAAACGCTAAGGAGTCATCATCATCATCATTATCATCACAGATTCTCAAACTGCTATTTAGTTGGTGTGGTGGTATCTATTTCGCTGCCACCACATTGCTAATGAATTTTAAAATTGAGTCATTTGTTTGTTATTATTACTTATTCACTATAAAAAAAACAAAATACCGTAGGATATTCTCTCTACCCCATATCATCTCGTGGCTCGTGGGTGTCGTAAGAGACGATAGGGGAATCAAATCAGGAGATGGGCGGCAGTGTCTTCCTAATAATGACTAAAAAATAAATACTGCGGTTGCAAACCTGCTCATCAAGCATGGCAACTATTGCGAACATCCCCCCTATTGGGCAATGTAGGGTGGAGGCCTATGTTCAGCAGTGGATTTTAACAGGCTGTAACAGTAAGGCTATAAAAAACAAAATACTAATTGCATTTTTTAGTTTATTCTTTTTTTATTATATTTATATTGTTAGTCACACCTTGGGAATGTTTAGATGGTGGCACAGACAATATCACTGCAACAATTCCTCCAGACACATACATCTGTTTGACAACTCTGAATCATTGTTTATGTTTGAATGATTCATTATAATCACATGGCCACTTAGAATGACGTTATATTTGTTTGTATATCTCATTATGATCTGAATGTTAAATGAATATGCAATTGTTTAATACTTTAAGACATCTGTTTGTGTAATTAATGTAATAAGATTTACTTATAAACTGATTGACTCTGAGTTAATAAAGTCAATATTAAGGGGAAATATAACCTCAAATGGCTTAGCAAGATCCTCCGTTATGCCGAAAGTATTGCAGCATTAATTTTGAAATAAATATATGGTAAATTTGAGGATTAATATTAAGGACTATGTTAGACGAAAACACGATTCCGTAAAATTTTCTTGATAGAAAAAAAAATCCACAGTTACCTCCAAACTGAACAATGCACCGCTGGTATTCATAAAATACTTTAAGTAAGATCATAAAACTTTGCTTACTAACTGAACTAACTATAAAGCAGTGCTTCTGTTATTTACTTTTTTTTAAATACCATTATTTTCACTGTAAAAAGAAATTACCTAAACTATCGGCATCTTGAAGCTTGATTCCTGTCGCCCCGTTAGTATCGCTTAGGCTTTTGAAGGGAGAAGTTGTGTCACTTACGATCAGAATACACATTAAGCAACAAGACGACGTAAAATTAAAATGGGAAATAACCGTGATAAAAAAGTGACTGGGTTGGGGTTAAGAAAAAGGCATAAATATGATAAACCTAATGAAATAAGTATCTAACGACCTATCTACTTACAGTATTAGTGATTACAAACATGTTGGTACATAGCATACGACGCGCGGGGAAGTGGGGGCGAAATTAGAATTTGAGCTGACTTACTATATCCCCTTAACACAAATAGCATACATGTTAGTTGTTGCTTAAATTGTTCTATCAAAATGCATAATTTGAATGTTTATACAGGGTAAAGAGCAGCCAAATTTTAAACTTTAATTATATAAATTATGATATACCGTTATTACAGTTTTTGAAAATGCGAGTAAATAAGGCTACCTTTATTTGACATTATCTCAAATTGAATGTGATTTATGGGCAACAACGTTTTTGTCTACCGATCGACCCTTATACGAATGTGTGCGCAGTAAAATCAGTTAAAAATGCATTACCACGCATTTTGAATTTAAAAGATAAAAAGGACACATGTTTGAGATATTTTGAATTAATTTTTCTTCACCATTTGCAAATCAGAAAAACTTTTAAGACACATAAATTAAACAGCATTCCTATAAATATTAGTATATTTGACAATCACTACCCAAGTGTCGAATATTTGGTATAGATTGAAGCTGAAAATCGATCAGATACGTGTCTCTGCGGACTGTAACACTGTCTATATATAATTTCGTGTAGACTACAGTTCTATATTGTTATCCCGAGCATTGAATTCACTACGAAAGAAATTAGCATAGATGAAAGTGTAATATTCTTGTTGAAATATCTTCTTTATCAGGCTTTAAAATTCATTTCAATCTAAATCAAGGCATTTTCAAGAAGATATGTGTTAATGTAAGTAAAGATAGTAAAGTGCACTAGTTTATTGTTAACAAAAGCCGTCGATTATGAATTATTTCAAAAACATTCTAAATTTAACTTCCCAGTAGGAAGTGTATGGGAATTGTAAGGGGTCCAATTTTCCAAAGACCAAATTTTGTACTTTACTTTTCGAGGTCTCTAAGAATCGATAATGTAGTTTTGAGTTCTTTGTCTATATACGCCTGTGAACGCAAATATAAAACAACATGCGTATTTATGTACGTTTATGGTTAATTTTCGCCTCTCGTACCTCGAGAGCACATTATGATATCTACGTTCAACTGGTTTAATTCGATACACAATTATTATAACATGATTCACGCCTTAATCAAAACCAGTCCAGCAGTTTTGTTATTAATAAATTAACTGAAGAAATGCAAACTAACAGAATTTAATAATTGATAATCTGTAACTAAATTTTCATTCATGCATGTTCTAAATAGGGTCACAATATTTTTTGATAAAACAATAACAGAAACAGAAACTTTTTATTCAATATAAGTAGATTATAAATAATGCTTATTGGAAGTCACTCTTTTGTTTAATTAGGTACCACTAGTTCGGAAAAAAATCTCTTTCCTGGGAAAAACCAGCAAGAAATCCAGCGCAACTGTTTTATAAGTAACAGCTTACAATCATGTGTGTTATACAATTAATCAACACAAAACAAAATAGGCTTGGTATATAATATTTATTTTTAATTTTGGCGACAATTGCCTAATGGCAGGGCGCAGACTGCGAACTCAAGAAGGTCGTGGGTTTGAATCCGCCATTCCACTACTGGCGTGAACCACTCGTAACACAAGCAATTTAAGCTTACCACGAGTGGTTAAGGGGAATATTACTAATGTTTATAGCATTGTTAATATTCTTTTAAAAAAAATTACACCAGTAGTGTATAGCAACCCTAGATAACGGTTTTGTTTTAATTTTAATATAGTTTAATCTGGCATTCATACAGAAAAAGACGTCAGACGGGCCCATATATAATACATAATAAGCCTATTTAAAAGAAAGACTTAACCTTGAATCGTGAGAAACATTGAGATTAGTTTAATTGGTCTTATCATTAAAATAACTATTCAAAGTTATTTCGACAGGGCAACAGAGGCAGGCGAATTCAACATCGTGTCACAACTACTGGCGTGCGGTTATCGCAGCCGCGACGCCAAGAACCAGGATGGACAAACTGCTGTCCATATAGCGGCCAGAGCCGGCCGCGACAACATTCTCGCCAAGCTGATCGAAAGCGGCGCCACCGTTAACGTGCGCGACTCTTTCGGATACACGCCACTACATGTAAGCACTAATATGTTTCCAAATAAGTCTCTGGATATATCCAAAATGGGTGCTAAATGACTTTTTGAATTAAATATAATTGTGTGGTGGGTGTTTTTGTCGCTTTTTATAAGTATTAAATATTCATTCATTCAACTCACTGTTGAACACAGGGAGACTATTTTCATACGGGAATAATTGGCACAGTTGCCACGATTAGCAGGCGTTTTAACCGTAGCTTTTTGTTATTTTGAGCTGTAATCAGGAAGATGCTACTGCCTATGTCGCCCCTTACAACACCCACGGGATGATATTATCCTTAGTGGATCTTAAGCCGCTAAAACTACACGGCGAGCCAGTATAGGTGTATCTATACGCTACTAAACGGCACTTGGTTAGCTTCCTATGGCGACAACTTCCGATGCATTGCCGTATGACGTCTACAGATATAAACAGATTTTTAGTATGACACCGCAATGCCATCGCGTAAATTTTCTGCATAACGTTTTTCTGTCCCCCCCCCCCAACTCCCCTCCCTAAATGTTACTAAACACCCACGTGACCATTTTTACCTAAGTCACAAAGTACCGGAAAATCTGCTTCTGTATAAACACTAATGAATACTAATAAATAAAATAAAAATGACGTACAGTCGAGGGATTCCCCGTAAAACATAGACGAAAAGAGTTGCCATCTTGGGGGAACCAAATAAAAATAATATACAATACAATCGAGGAATTCCCCGTAAAAAAATAAGCGAAAAGTGTTGCCTACGTGGGATATTTTAATTCTCTATTTTTTATTTAAATAAAAAACAATGTTACGTAACGCGTTTTTAGAACCCCCTTCCCGCCTCTGTAACGCATCGTAGCGTTTTACAAGTCCCCCCTCCCCCTAAATTGCGTTACGTAATACTTGAATGCCCCCTAAGCGCCGCATCTCTGCCACAACGCGCTATATGGCTTCGCTTTTTTCCGTTTCTGATACTCCATTGCATCGATTACTATGCTCTAGTTTGTCCTGTATGGAGAGACTGAGAGATCATTCAATTACTTTAGTCTAATCGTTTAATAGATTTAGTTTAGTCTGTGAAGCATTCCATCTTAGTTTTCAGAGGTGACGACGAATCTGCCTTCTTTGTTTGAAGTTGGTTGCAAGTGTCCATGGGCTGAGCGAGCCACTCATCATCAGCCATAAGCCGACTTACCACTATGGGATATAATATAATTTATATTACATCTCGAGATGTAAATTAATATCGCTCATCGTACTTTTAAATGGAACCGTTTCCACTGAAATTTAATATATATTACATCCCAAACTATAAATATTTTTTCGATCGACCGAGCAATATATTCATATTATATTTCACCTCCTGTACCCCGCACACCGTTCCGCGCCCCCGCTACGTCCAAAGATCATCCAATGACGAACGCACACTGGTTAAAAGATATATCTCAGTGTGAAGGGCAATCGCGGGATATAATTTATATCTCGGGATATAAATATATATTATATCCCGTAGTGGAAAACCAACTTTATTAGCTTCTTTGTTTCTTCAGTGTTATATAATAATACTTAAAATTAGATTAAGATATAAGAATAATTGTGTTTTCAGTACACGTGTCAAAACAACTTGCCGAGCACGACGGAGTTGCTGATCACAAAAGGCAATGCAAACTATCAAATGAGACATGCGCCGACCGGGAAGGTGCCTTTACACGATGCCGCACAAAGAGGACACATTGAATGTATCAAGGTAAAAGTTTCTATAAAAATTATCAAACCCTATGAATTGAAATATTGTAGATATCTTTCTATTACAAAATAAAGAAAGTTATCTTTGATATGTTGCAGTCTGCCGATCATTATGATTTCTAAACAATATTTTATTTGAATAGAAGTAGCAGATTCAGACCAGATCCTTCTGAAGATCTTCTAGTACCTACAGATGTCAACGATTTGTTTATTTGTAGCTATTTTCAAAAAAATGTAATGGTCCTCTAAAAGGGTAATATATTTATCTCCTATCGTTGGCTTTCTTTTTAGCTATTGGGACACGCGGCATTCACTTGAAACATTTAGTAAAATAGCTGTGCAAACGAAATTATGAATGAGCGAAGTAAAAGTTTTCACATTTATAAATTATTGAGCAAATCCATGGTTTCTGATATTAATATTTTCTTAAATCACTATTTTTGTTGGTTGGTGCCATCTAGTGAAGCTTAGCCGTGTCAAAAGAGCTAACTTTAGGTCCTACCTAAAACTGAAGACAGTGTGAAAACACGGGCACTGTAACTTTATAATCCAACCGACATAATATTTAATTTGCGTTAGCAGGGATATCTACTTAAAAATATGTAGACAGGTCCACACTACATACTTCCTTCCTTCTCATCATAATTATCATAAAATCATGGATAGCTTATGTTTATCGTCATATAAGCCTCCCTGTATCGATTTAATTTTTCTTACAAATTTTTTATTGCGATATATCTGAGACCACAAAGTGCACTTTTATATATCAACATCACTATGTTAGATAATTGTCTGACCGTTTTATGCCAACACATCAAAAACATTGGATGCGTTTGGCAGAAAAAAGCGCTAGCAAGCGCTTGTAAGCAAAATGGCGATCGTGGTAGCGTGTTGGTTTCCAACACGATGTTAGTTTTAACTGGGGAACCTAACCTAATTTAAATATATGTTTGTAAAGTATTCATATTAAAAACTTACCAATCATAAATTTTTAATAACATGTATATGTTTATTCATGTCATTATATTACTTAAAACTAATATTGCACAAAACAACTTATAAACTCTACTTCAAAACAAACAAATTAAATAAGCAAAATGGCCGATTGTGTCAGCGCTACTGAAGTGCAATCGTGTCCTGGCTGAAAACTATTTCAGCGCTTGTAAGCGCTTACTAGAGCTTTTTTCTGCCAAACGCACCCATTAAATCAGGTTAAAATAGTAAAGTTACAGCGTCTATTACGCCCAACTGCTAGACTCATTTTCTGAGTGGGTTATGGGGTAGTCACATTACACTAGTGCATATCAGTCTATTTCACTTGGACAGTGTTGTGCAGAAATGATCCAATCCACCCACAAACTGGCCAAAATAATGATCTAAATTCACTTTTTTTTTTCAGTTTATTTTCATGACTTCTGAAAAATATAAGTAATCCCAAAATGTTACACATGCCATTGTAATAGTGCTTTTGCCCACAAGAAAATCTCAAATTTGAATCCATCGAAATATTTTAAGTCTTCCTTACAATTTATTTCTTTATCCTACTAATGGCATGTTACATGTGATGTAATATTGAATAGAATAAAACGCTAGTCAATGGAATGTCTACGTATTTTTTTAATAAAAATACTTCGTTTGTTTCCTTTTAGGTACTCTTAAAGCTCAATGCACCATCACATCCGAGAACACTAGCACAAGACACACCTGCGGACTTGGCGAAGCATTACGGACACACAGAATGTTATCAGTTGCTAAGTAAGTTAGTTCTGTTATATATTAGCTTGCTAGGCAGACATTGTTCTGCCTATTTCGACGACAATTTGTCATGTCCTGTCCTCAAGTTGGACCAAACTGCACGCACATTGCACGGTGTGCAAATTTGATTAAAATCGTTTAAGTAGTTTAGAAGTCCATCGCAGACAATCAACGTGACACGTAATTTATATATGTTAAAATGTATCACCCTACTACTACTACCTACTTTTTCTAGTCCCAAAAAGCATCTCAACAGTGAGCATAATCTCAGTAGTTTCATGTATATAGACTGTTTCTTTACTTTCTTATTTCATTACGGCAACGCAGGGAACTTTTCCTTGCCCCAAAAAGCTTCATAAGTAATAAGACTGAGAGGGGGTTGAGCTTAACAATGAAATGTTTCTAGAGCGTCACTTTATTTTCTTATTTTTATTACAAATAATTATACTAGTCCTTACATCAACTATACGAACATCTACATTACACTACAACACTAACATTATATAAGGAACCTTCCAAATACAAAACAGATTCGAAACAATTATTGTCATTGCACAATTGCAAATTTATAGTACATTCTCTCATTCCACTATCCCACACGGTCGAAGTTTATTCAAATACAGTTTTCCATTTAAATTTATATTTTCTTCCTTGTCATCAGAAAACCACACACCGGATCCGCCAAAAACTAACAAAAACCAGTGGTATCATGGAACATTGAACCGTGAAGAGGCTGTGAAGACGCTAGAGGAATATTGCAAATGCCACAGTTTGCAGGACAAAGCATCAGACGGCGTGTTTCTGGTGCGCTATAGCGAACGGCACACCAATGCTTATGTCCTCACCATGCTCAGTGAGAACACACCATACAATTTTATTATTAGAAAAGAGGTAATAATATATACTTAAATGTACAGCCTTTAAGTGAAAATTTAAATATGATCTGAAAACGTATCCATTATTTAAATTTTCCTTATTGTTTTCAAGGGTGTCCAAAATAGTAGCTTTCTCTATTTGTAGTTTGTTGAAGGTGTCTGAGGGATGTAGTAGCGCTAATCATCCAACTATTTAGCTCGTTTTTTTTTTCTTCATAGAATAAAGGTGACAATCGAGCACACAGTCCACTTGCTGGTAAGTAGATACTGTGGCCCATAGACATTCTACATTTATCCTCGATTAAGAATCAAAACGCAGATGCGTTGTCATCCCTAAGGACTAAATGGAATGCCTAGTATCCAGTAAAAAAGGGTCTCCAGATCTCTACACTCACCACACGAAACACAGCGGTATAAAGCTGCTATTTTATGCTGGTATTCTATGAGAGCGTAGTCCTTCCCCGGTCGAGCCGACACATTCGTGCTACAACTATAATATAGCTGCAACGTGACTCTACCACATATAAATCAATAAACTTTTGTAACTCGTTTACTATAAAAATGTGTAATAACTTTGCGCGCGGTTACTTCCATCAGAAATAGGATTGATTTACCCTCAAGTTGCGCGTACATCAACAGGAGTTTCATATTCTTTTGAAGTTTGTTACATACCCCTTTGATCCAGATATAATCTAATTGAAAGAATATTACCATTGATCAACTGTGATATAACTCTTGTGTTTCAGAGTCAGTGGCTGTTTATTGATGACGGGCCATATTTAGAATCCCTGGAAAGGCTCGTGGAGCACTACAGCAGTGTGCCAGACGGTTTGCCCATGCGGCTTACTATCCCAGTACCACCCAAACCTAAACCACCACTACCGGAGGTATGATTTTTCGATTTTACAAAAACATTTTATTATTAACTTTGATTCTTAAGTTATAACCTAGACTTTAAAAAGGAACATCTATGAAATTGAATTTATATAAAATAAAATGAAGACATTTCAGACAGACCTTCATTATAAAAAACATTACTTTTCAGTTCTCCACAATGCCACGCACCAAGAAAACTAGTCCTAGTCGAGCTGTGATGAACCAGACTCTGTCTTTAGTGAAATGTGATATTCTTGGAGACAACAAAACCTCATCCCCAATTCCTCCCGCTGCGGTTAACAACAACGCTTTTGAACTTCTCACGAGGAATCTATCCTTCTGCTCCGATTTTAGCAGTGATTGTATCAATAATAATGAAGACACACAAACAGACAATGAAACATATAAAGTGCCAGTGAATAATAGTGCAGTGGTGACATTAGCTGAGAATTACAACGAGATATCCATCAATTCAGACGGGCAACTATCAACACTTCAAGGTATAGTTATATAAATTTATATTTAGGTATAGAGAGAGCCGTGGTAGCTCAGTGGTTAACGCTCGCTGTAAATATAACAGAACGCGAGTAACCCGGGTTCGATCCCCGCCGGCATCAATGAAATTGTTAATTGCAATTTTAAGTGCTGATTTACCACGTGCTCGGCGGTGAAGGAAAACATCGTGAGGAAACCTGCATGTCTGAGGAATAAGAAAAAAATATTTCGAAGACATGTGAAGTTCGTCAACACGCATTTGGGCAGCGCGGCGGATACTTCCTTGCCCTAAACCCTCTCAGAAATGAGGGGAGGCCTGAGCCCAGCAGTGGGACATATATAGGCTGTAACTTTACTTTTTTTACTTTTATATTTAGGTAACCGTGTAGTGGCAGTGTAACCGTATAGTGTCGGTGTAAGAATATTCACTGCTCCACACCGTCCCGTGGGCGTCGTAATAGGCGAGAGAGGGAAATTGAAACAGGTGATGGGCAGCACCGTCTCCCTGATTACAACTCAAAATAATAAAAAACTGTAGTTGACAACCCACTTGCCAAGCGTGGCAACTATGGCAAAATCTCCCCCTATGAGCCAATCTATGGGGGAGGCCTATATTCAGCAGTGGACTTTTATACGTTGTGATGATGATGAAATTTAGTACGTTATAAAAAATATTATTTTATCCAGTGTGGGGAGTAATTCAGCCATTTTCAAACCTAACCTTCTTGTGCTGCAGTCTGCTGATATACAAACGAGAGTCTTGATGTACGGCTGATGGCGAAATGCCAAATAAAACTTCTTTATCACCCTGTAAAATTCCACAGCTAGGCATGGGCTCTCCCAGTGTAGGCAGGATTTGCCCCCAACGTCAAGTTTAGAAAGGAAGTTTGGTCAAGAATTTAAATAAACAAGTATACAATAAATCAAAAAATGAAAAGATTCCATTAATGAAATATTTTTACTGATTATTTGAATTAGCATAAATTTGAATCGTCCAAACACTATGGTAAGGTGCATAATGACATATTGAAACAATAATCAATCTCCCTTAAGGAACGCCACAAAGCACGACTTCCTGCATATCTTACCAGGTCTTCACTACATCTAGGGGCCGCTCTACACTTCGCCTGCCGGTACGAGGCTGCCACTCGAAACCCTTTTTTCCCCATCAGTTGTCGCTTCTTCGAGCTATATGACCTGCCTATTGCTACTTCAGCTTACTAATTCTTTCCATAGCTCGGTGAGCGACTTTAAAATTCCTGATATGATCAGCAGTGAAGGACCACGTCTTAGATCCATAGGTCATAACTAGCAATACGCACTGATTGTACAATCCTGTTTTGAGGTAATTTTAACGAGAGGATGTGTAGTAATCTCCCGAAGGCTGCTCAGACGAGTTAAATCCGTCGATTAACCTCTCGGTCGACGTTGGATTTACCTTGTCGGACTATTTGTCCTAGGTAAACATACTCGTCAACAACTTCGAGCTTAGTGCTCCCAACGACTACTGGCAGAGGTGTGACATAGACGTTACACACGACTTTTGTTTTGTCCATGTTCATTTTAAGACCTATCCATTGGGAGACACTATTGAGGTCATTGGGCATAGTGCTTAGGTCCTCCAGCGATTTTGCCATAAGAACAAATCGAAGGTGAGTGATGTACTCGCCATTGATGTTAATACCGTATCCTTTTCAGTGCAGTAGCTAGAAAACGCCTTCCAATGCAGCGTGAAGAGTTTCGGGGATATAACGTCACCCTGTCTTTTACACCTCTCTGCAGTTCGATAGGTTTCGTACTCTGGTTCTGTACTCGGATAGCCATCGTAGCCCTACTGTACAAACACTTCAGCACTTCGATATACCGACAGTCAACTTGGCACCGCTGAAGGGACTGCAGCACCGCCCACGTTTCGACGGAATCAAAGACTTTCTCATAGTCCACAAACGCAAGGCAAAGTGGCAGATTGTACTTTTCGGTCTTTTGTACAAATTGCCGAAGGGTATGTATGTAGTTTATGGTGCTAAAGCCTATTCGGAAACCTGCTTGTTCGGGAGACTGCAAGTCGTCAAATCTGCGTGCGAGACGATTCGTAATGACTTTCGAAAACAGCATGTAGACGCAGCTCAGAAGTGAAATCTATCTGTAGTTCTTCAAGAAAGCGTTGTCGTCTTTCTTGAAGAACAAGCCCACCGTACTTCTGCTCCACGCCTCCAGAGTAGTGCCACCATAGAGGATGGAGTTAAAGAGCTCAAAGACTAAGTACCGGTTTTCCCCCCGATTTCAGAAGCTCCACTGTAATTCCACCCATGCCTGGGGACTTGACGTTTTAAGGTGCTGGAGAGCTATTCTAATGTCGCTCAGACTGACATTCGGAATATCATGAGAATAGTGTCGGATAAGACTTACTTTTGAACCATTACTCACACTTGTGTGGCTCTAACTATGACGTATACCCATATTAGCATGCCTTTTAAGTTCTATCGTTTACCAGCAATTTTGAATTTGGAACTGTTCAATATTCAAATTTGTTTAAAGTCAGAATCTCAAAACAATTGAAAGTATGAGGATTAATGCTATTGTTTAGTCACAGAGTGATTTTGAATCTGTCAGGTCACGTATGAAAATAAATCTTACTAGGGCAAATATCCGTGCAATAATTTTCTAGAACTTTCGAAGAGGTCTAATATGGCTTACGTGTTTCGAAGAGCTAACTTCTATATTCCATGATGAAACCCCATGTCTGAGGACTGTCAATCGCTGGTATTTAGAATTCCAGTGTGGACGTACCGATCTAAGTGACAAATCTCATGAAGGGTGTCTAAAATCCGCCTTCACTGAGGATAACATAGTTGCTGTGAGAAAACTAATTTTTGAAGATCGTCATGTTCTTCAGGGATCTCAGGGACAATCATTCAGAAGAGCTTGCATGAAGTGCTTCAAATGGTGTAAGAAAACTCTTCAAAGGTTCAATCAAGGAGAGTCAAATCACGTCTACGACATCATCAGTGGTGATGTATCTTGGATTTATGCCTATGATCCCGATTCTAAACAATAATCTACAATCTGGGACTTCCAAGACGAGGCCAAGCTGTAGTCTTCAGTAAGTTGTTCGCTCTCGAAGCACTTCAAAGAAAATGGTGGCACATGTTCATTGCGAAAATCGACCATGTTGCGACAATTGCACTTGAAGATTGTAGAACGGTTAATGCAGAGTGGTATATCACAGTTCGAATCCTACACCATGACAACGCAAGCTGACATAGCCCTGGTCAAACGATTGTGTGTATTTGAAGCAAGAAAACATAGAAATTATTGACCATCCTCAATACAGTCCTGACCTAAGCACTAACGATTTCTTTGCATTTCCTAAAATTAAGAAAAATCTTTGTGGTTAAAGGTTCCAGTCCAGTGAAGAAGCAGTCTACACTTTCAAAACAGCGATATTGAACAACCCCACTGTGGAGTGGAATAAATATTTTAATAACTGGTTTGAGCGAATAGGAAATTGTATTAAACTATGTGGTGAATACTTTTAAAAACACTAAAAAGTACCAAAATATTCTAATTGTATTGTTTTGGTCAAACGATAAAACTTAAAAGGCATGCCTTGTAGAACCTCTCAAAATCAAAATCTCAGGTGACCCATAAACGATGCTGCCACATTCTGTCTTCAGCTTCTACAGTTTGCTCTTTATGTCAGACAGATAACTGACAAAGACTGAAGCCCTGGTTCCGCTCAATCGCTTCTTCAATACGAGCTTTATTGAAGTTGCGTAAATCCCGCCGCATGCATTTCTAGATCTGTCTGTTAATTAGCCAGTATGCTGTCAAATCTGCTGAAGACTGCAACTTCATCTCCCGTCACACATCCATGAGATTAAGAGTGTGTTCGGAGAGTTTTTGTGTTCTTCAGCAACGGGTCTTATAGAACTTAGCTCTGACCGCATGGACAGTTTCCACGAGCTTGTCATTCATATCATCCACTCGGGTATTCTTACCTGCCACTACACGGGGACTTACCAACCTTTACACAGGGCATTTGAACAAGGATTGAAACAATGGCAAGCATAAAAGTTGATTCTGGTTAAATTTTTTATAATTTGCTGTGTGTTTGAAAGATTTGAATTTAAATTAATTAGTGATAAAGAAACATACATGTTGCAATGAAATATAGATCACTTCACAATTATTTGGATTTCAGTAAAAGGTAATTTTAAATAATCTAAATACGTTTATACAAAGTTATTGCGGAATAATTAATGTGCAATGTCAAAAGCTATTTCATAGATTTGGTGGAGTATAATCCCTGTTATGATATCGGAATTCGTCAAGTTTTGGCATCACTTTATATGTACGCACCGCTCTTTCATTTTTCATGGTCTGTGGTTACACTTTGTGATTATTTTACTAAATCCGCGTTACAATATTCCAGAATTCATTCCAATGAGCGATCTGACCCTGGGCGCGACGCTCGGTGAGGGCGAGTTCGGGTCGGTGCTGCGCGCGACGTACAACGCGGCAGGGCAGCCGCCGCAGGCCGTGGCTGTCAAGACGCTGCATGCGCTGCACGCGGACAACAACCGCAGGGAGTTCCTCGCAGAAGCTCGCCTCATGATGTCGCTGCGCCACCCCTGCATAGTGCGGCTCATCGGCGTCTCACTCGTTAGTAACACCCTGATTGTTCAACTCGTTACTTCGTTTACGTATTTTATATTATATATATATATATTATATGGAATATAGGTATATAATGGACGTGGTATATCTTTGTAAGTTATATAATTGGTGTGTCTGTTAATGATTGTGTAACCTCAGAAATTGATCAAAAGTGATCTATTCACACAGTAAATTGGTTATATCGAGCTGTTTTGGTTAGGTACCAATAGGTAACGCTGTTAATAAATTCTATGTTTATGCACCAAAACAACATATTCTCTATATGTATATGTTGATTTAGTACCAAAAAATCTGGACCCGACAGATGATGATAGGGCAACACTGTAAAAAGTTCAAAGTAAATTCGGAGTAACCTTCATCGCGCTACCTACAAAAAAAGCAGAATATCTGTAGGGCCAGCTAGTGTTATATATCGCAAAATAACAATGTTTAATAGATGTATTATGTATGCCTTCCTCTTTATCCATTAACCCGTAAAAGACTACTACTACACATTGGCTTCTAACTTGTAGAGCCTTTATCATCATGCTTAACAGGCAGATTGACGATCGCAGTATCATACGTCCCGCTTCCCGTCACCAGCCTTTCATGCACCCCACAACACCATCTTTCTTTTTATTGAATAAGGGAGACAAACAAACACACAGTCCACCTGATGGTAAGTGCGTACTGTGGCCTGGATGGATCATCTACATCTTTCCTCGATTAAAAATCCAAATGCAAATGTGTTGTCACCCCTGAGGATTAAAATGGATTGACTCGTTTTCCAGTAAAAAAGGTTTCTGAATCTCTACACTCACCATACAGCAGCATTAAACTTAATATTGAGCTGCTATACTCTAGTATTCTGTGAGAGCGTGGTCCTTCTCTGGTCGAGCCGATCCATTTGTGCTACAACCATATAGCTGCAGCGTGGCTGTGTCAAATGAAAATTCTTTTGGAATTTTCTGGCATTTCCCATAGCCGTCTCATTCAATCCGCTATCATACGGCAATTATGACAGACAAACAGGTTATGCACATATATACGAAATATGAAGTCCTTTGTCACATTTGCCATTTCGTTACCACAAATTGCTATTAAACAGCGTATAAATATTAAGGCTTAGCAGGTCACAGAGCATAGCATGCTTTCACAATTTTAATGGATTTGGTAGAAATTTTTGGTGTATCCTACTAATACTAATTGTGGTAGATAACAATTGCGAAATATTTTTTATTTTTCAATCATGCAAGCTTCCTCATAATGTTTTCTTTTACTACTTGGCATAATAAGTTGAATCAACACTAAAAATTGCTAAAATCAATTCAGTGGTGCCGACAGAAATCAATCTTGTGTTGCTTACAAGATAAATTATTATTACAGTGTTACATTTATATTATTATATTAAAAAAAGTGTTTTGGCGGCATCAAAGAAACCGTCACCCCATCTCATCATGTGGGTGCTGTGAAAGACAGTTGTAGGAAATACCAGCACAATGTTAAGGTTTCCACTGGATTCCATTTGTGGCAGGTAATATCTTTAGACTAGTGACTGGAAGATCGTCATTTCGCTTGTCAATCGTGACTATTAAACCAAATCATTCTTACAATGAGGGAGACATACGTCAAACAGAGGAATTTTACAGGCTGATTTGGACGAAGATATCCTGTTCATTCAAAGGTTGTTGGAAGAAATTGCTTACTGTTTTATTTCTATTTTGCTTATAATTATAGTTATATTTCTTTTTGCTCCTTCCTTCGGTTATATTTTCATTCGTTGACGTGCAATAAAGTGTTGTAGTCTATTTATTCGACTTACGAATATTCGGCTACTGTTTGGTATTCGGTCTATTCAGTTACTTTTATCGTATTCGGCCGAATACTGAATACTTAAGTAAGAGATTTTATTGTAGTCAGATAATTGGCTTTTACTTATAATCATTAATAAAGTAGTCGTAGGTATAGGTACACAATCAGCTTCCATATTATAAAAATAAAAAAGAACTATTAGATAAATGTCTATGCACTTGAATTATCGTAATTAAAGTGGAAAATAATGGTGTCGAAAGACTAATTTTTCTTCATTTTCAGGCAGTAGTTTACTTCTTTTCTAATTGTAGACAATCCCAGTTTCCGAGAAATGACACTTTGAAGAATAAACATTATTTCTTTCTCGGCCAAATACTTTTGCCTAATATTCAGCTATTCGATCAGGAAGTCCACAGAATATTCGGTTTTCGGCGCGTGGCCGAATATACTATTCGTTGCAAGTCTACTATTTATCTATCTATACATTTATTATTTGAGGATGGCATTAAAATTATCATTTCTGTTTATTTCAATATCTAAAAATTTGCAGTATGCGGGTAGCATTAAAGCATGACTTCTATATATCTATCTATAAATTTGTAGTATAAAAGTGGAATTAAAAATATGATAGCGAAATGAGTGGTGGGTAAAAAGGCGCGTATGTGTCCTTGCAGGGCCCGCCGCTGGCGATGGTGCAGGAGCTGGTGGCGCTGGGCTCGCTGCTGCAGTTCCTGCTGCGCGCGCCCGAGCAGGCGGCGCCGGGGCGCGAGCTGCGGCTGTGGGCGGCGCAGGTGGCGGCCGGCATGCGCTACCTGGAGCGACGCCGCTTCGTGCACCGCGATCTGGCCGCCCGCAACATCCTGCTCGCCACCAGGTCCGCGCCCACGGGCTGCTCCGACCATACCTCAATTTATAGCATTCTAACTTTATAGTCCATGTATATAGTTGTAGCAGTATACCGATGGATCGGCTCGACCGGGGAAAGACCATGCTCTCACAGATAATTAGCATGTTGTGTTTCTTGCAGTGAATATAGAGATCCGAAAACCCTTCTTACTAAATACGTGGCATTTCATCGTAAACCTCAGAGGTGCCAACGCATAAGCATTTGGATTCTCAATCGAGAATATCAACATCCACTTACAATCAGGTGGACTACGTGCTCCTTTGTTGCTCTTATTTTATAAAAAAAAGCTACCACAGCTTACAAAACACATGATGCAATGTAGAGATTATCTAATTTAAGACTACACACACTCACTTCTCACTTTTATTTTGTCACTTTTATTGTCATCATCATCATTATCATCATTACAGCCCTTCACAAGTCCACTGCTGAACATAGGCCTCTCCCAAGTAATGCCACAAAAATTTTATTACCTAAATTCTAAATTATGTACTATACACGATAAAATATATTAAAACAATAGCAAGGGTGCACAAACTCAGATTTTAAGATACAGGTAAATGTGACAAAATCTATAAAGATAATATTTTCGGAAATATAAAAGAATGATAGTAGTCAAAATGATAGTACATTACCAATTGGCACGGGAGCCAGGAAATCAGTCAACCTCAATTCACTATCATTTATTAATTCGGCGCTAGATCACAGGTGCATTTAATCATAGGTGCAATTCATAGGTCACAAATATAACCTTTCGTACGTACGGTCGCGATGCACAGTATATCCCTCATCGAACCGTGTAAGATTAAAAAGAGGTAAGCTAGGTAGGGGGAAAGTATGCGAATATCTGTATGCAAAATATTACAAAAAGCCAAGTTTTTACTGTACACATACACGCTAAATTTGTTATATAATCATATATCATAATAATATCATCACTTTATAATACATTCCGTCGTATGCTATAAGCTGTGGTATAACACATATGACATAATGTAGGGAGTCAGAATGTGTCAAAAGGCACATGTGGCACTTCACAACTCTATGTTAGTCCCAACTTCAATGTAGTAGTAGTTAAAGTTGGACGTGGCAGAAGTAGCACGAGAATAGATAATAAATGCTGTAGAAATGCCGTAATTTAGAAGTTTATTAAGGGTAACTCGGAAAGACAGGATGAGAAATTGAGTGATAAGAGAAAATGTGGTTTCCAAGATAATGATGTGACCGATTAGATGGGGTTGAGGCATGTTACAGCTTGTATAGCAGTATTATGGTTGTAGCACGCGTGGATTGGCTCAATCGGGGAAAGCTCACGCTCTCATTGATCACAGAACACTAGTGAAAAATAACAGCTCGATGCTGCTATGTTTTGAATGGTCTGTGGGAAACCGGAGACTCTTTTTACTAGAAATATACCATCATTTTCCTCAGGGGTGATACGAGGCATGCCTTTTAAGTTCTGTCGTTTACATATTTACTGGCGATTTTGAATTTGGAACTGTTCAATATTCAAATTTGCTTAAAGTCACAATCTCAAAACAATTGAAAGTATGAGAATTAATGCTATTGTTTATCCACAGAGTCGTTTTGAAACTGTCAGGTCACGTATGAAAATAAATCTTACTAAGGAAAATATCCGTGCAATAATTTTCTACAACATTCGAAGAGGTCTAATACGGCTTCAGTGTTTCAAGAAGCTAGCTTCTGTGTCCCATAATGAAGCCCCATGTCTGAGGACCCAGGTCGAACTCTCATCTCGTGAAGGACGTCCGAAATCCGTCTTCACTGAAGATGTAATTGTTGCTGTGAGGAAACTTATTCTCAAACATCGTCATGTCATATCGAAAGATAGGGGCGTTATTAGGCATCTCAGGAACGACCATTCAGAAGAGCTTGGAGTGAGAAAGCTAATTTTCCGTTAGATCTCGCATTTGCTTTTGCTTTCCGACGGCCATATGGCGACCCGCGTCAGGTGGTGTAAGAAAACTCTTTAAAGGTTGAACCGAGAAGAGTCAAATCACGTTTACAACATCAACAGTGGAGACGAATCTCGGATTTATGCCTACGATCCTGATTCTACAATCTGGGTCTTCCAAGACGAGCCCAAGCCGCAGTTACGCTTTCAAAAAAAAAAACTACTAAGACACATAATATACATAAATACAAATCTACTAATAAATATATACATAGATACACACAATCGTAACATTAATATCGATTACTAATATTATTTATCAACTCACTAACTGTCCTTTCCTGTGATAACATATAGTTAAAAAAAATATTATCAAAATATTGTCACACCATGTATTATGGAAGTTGTCGTCGCGACCGTTGAAGTGAGGATGGATACATGGAAAAACTTTTGTAAATTTATTTGTATGTCGGATGTTATTTAATAACTATATTTTGTAAAAATAAATAAATAAAAAAAGAGCCATATTGAACACCCCCACTTTGGAGTGGAATAAATGTTTTAATAACTGGTTCAAGCGAATGGAAAAGTGTATTAAATTATGTGGTGAATACTTTAAAAATCAATAAAACAACAAATGGTCAAACAACAAACGTAAAAGGCATGCCTCGTAATGCGTCTGTATTTTGATTCTTAATTGGAGATAAGTATCGATGTCTATAGGCAACAGCATCCACTTCCCAGCAGGTGGACTGTGTGCTCGCTTATCACCCGTATTATATAAAAAATCTATTTATACAACATTCTAGTTGTTGACTTGAACTTGTGATATGTTCTTAGTCTTATGAAGTTGGCTTTAATTGTTATATATTTTAAAGTTATGTAAGTGCATATTAATAATAAGTGTTAATTTGTACAGATACCAAGCTAAAATCAGTGACTTTGGTCTATCCCGAGCACTGTCGGCTGACAGTTCGTACTACAAGGCGAGCCAAGGTGGCAAGTGGCCCATCAAATGGTACGCGCCGGAGTCATACAACTACGGCACCTTCAGCCACGCCAGCGACGTGTGGAGCTACGGAGTTACTCTGTGGGAGATGTTCTCGTACGGCAAGCAGCCATACGGAGATATGAGGGGGACAGAGGTTTGTTGGCAATTTTGTGATTATCATTAAAATTTATAATACATTTATTTACATGGCATTGAAATTTTAACAACATAAAAAATAATTAATATTAGAAAAACTAAAGCTAACATATTATTATACAGCCGTACTCCCTGTGGTATCGACAAACGAGCACACATTCCACCTGATGGTAAGTGGTTGCTGTGGTCCATAGACATCTACATCTATCCACGATTACGAATCAAAATGGAAATGCGTTGTCACCCGTGAAGACTAAGATGGAATGCCTCGTTTCCAGTAGAAAAGGTCTCCGGTTCTCTACACTCACCATACGAAACACAGCAACATTAAGCTACTATTTTACGCTGGTATTCTGTGAGAGCGTGGTCCTCCCCGGGCGAGCCGACCCATTCGTGCTACAACTATACTGCTAATATAACTGCAGCATGGCTGCACCACGTATAAACTTAGCCTGTGAGCGAGAAAAGAACCAGCACTCTTATCGCCAGCAGCGGCGACTAGCCGCAGATAGAGTTCCTTTAGGAATTTAACCGTACGTGAACTCTACGGACCAATAATTTCTACAGTAAATGGCACAAATATAGTCATCTGTCAGAGATTCAAATCTGCCCCACTTACCCAGTTCAGCTGCTCAACATTTTAAATAAAACAATCAACTCTCATAGTTTTAGGTAACCTACACAGGACAGGATGTTTCATATCAAAAATCGTCTTCTTATCAATAAATCATACTTTTAAGTGCATTTCCTTAGTTCTAAGAAAACAGTCATAAATTGCTCATTGAAAATTCGCATTTACGTATAAATTAATCATTATAAATTATTGATAAGTAATTATGAATAGATTTAATTTTATATTATAGCTTGCCGCTTGGCGGTGAGAAGCCGTAGCAAATGTTGCACCTTGAGAGGTGTAAGTAAGAGAAGACGAAGGGAAATTCTAAAAGCGGCATGCGGTAAAATATCAAAACCGATGCCGAGGCCATAGGCTGAGCAACCGGCAGCGATCAATAATTCTCCAGGAGTGGTTCACAATTATAACAATAATTTAGGGGAGATTAATGTGTATACCTAAGACCGTTTGCTGATAATTTTGACAATTTTACAAATAACAAATATTGTGCAGTATCTCTCAAATATCTAAAAATCTTTGCCATGTAGTGGCGGCGTAAGATTATTTACTACTCCGTGTCATTCCATAGGTATCGTAAGAGGCGACGGATTGAAACTGAAACACAACATGGGCTGCAGTTTCTTTTTTAGAACAACTCTAAATATAAACTGCGGTAGCCAACCTTACTGCCAAGCGTGGCAACTGTAGCAAAAGTCCGTCCTATGAAGAAATCTATGGGAGAGGCCTACATTCAGTAGTGGACTCTTGATAGGCTGTAATAAATGTTGATGAAATGAAATAAAGGTCAGCCTTTTGAGGTAACGGGACATACTTATTAGAACGAGGGAATGGGCGGAGCCCGTGTCGCCACTAAAATGTCATTAACATGTCAATTCACACATATAACAGTCAATACGAGATGTCTTTTGACGTTACAATCGTTTCCAAATTTCGCATGTAAATTATTTAGAAAATGCCAAATTGCACACTATTTACAAATAAAAATGTATTAAAATTTAAACGATTTTTTTAATGATGATCTTGAACATTAATCAAAAGTTTAAAATGTTTAAATTTACTCAGTCTGTTAACACAGAGAATCGGGTTTGTAGTAGTGAGAATACGACGTAATTGCTTGTATGATGTGTGCTCCCGGCGACGCCGACCCTCGTACAAAATAAGGTTGACAGCCATTCTATTGTGTATTATAGTATTCTATGGTTAGACTAGTGTTGTGTGTTAGTGGGAATATAAAGGCATTTTCTAATCCTAACGAAAACGCTAGACCCAAAATTTTATTAAAGTCCCGCTGGATATTTTGCTGGTTCTTCCCAGAACAAAGGTTTTTCTGAAGCAGTGGTAAAAGTAAAAAAATACTTTCAATATTTATTCTTGTAATCTATATTGAATTAAAATGATTCTATTCTATTTTATTCTTTATCAGAAAGCTGTTTATGATATTACTTTGAAGCGTTTTTTAAAAAAAGTTTATTTTTATAGGCCATACAAGTAGTAGAAAGTGGTCAGCGTCTAGAGAAGCCAGAAAACTGCCCCGACGAGATTTACCAAGTGATGCTTGACTGCTGGGCTTACAGCCCAGACCTTCGACCAACCTTCAGCAAACTCGTCGACGTGTTCTCACAACACCCGGACTACGTGAACATTAGCCAACTGGCACTTGACAATGAAGACATTACTGTGTGAGATGTTGTAATTTCACTTTTTGTATATTGCCAGAAATCTTTAATATTATTATCACAACTACAATTACCAATGTCATAGTTGTACAAAAATGCACTTTTAAGATTACCAAAAATTATTATTTTTCTCTAATTTAGACAAGTAAAGACGCTACATAAATTGTATTTTCGTAACTTTAACGCTTTTGTTGCAATTTCGTAAATTATTTGTAATGTTAAAGGGTAATTATTGGTTTGGATGTGTTAAATAATTTTTACAACTTTGCACTGGTTATGTGTAAGAAATTCAAAAAAATGACTTATGAGATCTGAGGATTGTTAGTCAATATAAAGATTGCAATGCAGTTTGTTGCTCGAAAGAACTGAACTCGATATGAGGATAATGAGTAGTAAAGACATAGTGACTATGTATGTATGGTTGAGCAATGGTTTTATAGCATAAATTAATTGTTTGATAAAGAACGAAGCATGCCATGATGTGCCTGACTATGTATTAGTTAGTAAATTAGTATTTTAAGATGTATTATATTTTTAAGAGCCGACAAATTAACTTACGAGTGACAAAATTGTATATTAATTTGTTACTGAGGATAAGAGGATTGTATTAAGATAAAAAAACAAGTTCTAGCCTATTGTAGAACATACTTTTGTATTCAGTTATAGTAATAACAAAATATTTTTTTATGTTCCTGTACGGACTCAAAATAGCATAGGAACAATACAACTTGATAACTATATACATTCCTTTCTATCAAAGTAAGCATTTTAAAGTTTTTAATATTATACATAAATATTTTTTTAAGAATTAGTGTGTAAGTCATGCTTAGCTTGTAATCTATATCTCGATATTTGTATACAAAAACATTCAAACAGGAAAATTTATTTCATATATTTTATCTATAAATATATTGTTAATTTTGAGAAAATATTTTAATATAAAATAATCCAAGGTCAATACAAAATATTTTTATTTAAATAGTGTTGCCATGGATAATGCCATAGTATATGATGTGATTTACATTTCAGTTGCCATTAGGTTGTGTTATGTAATTTGTACAAAATTTTATATAGTTACCTAAATTGTATCTGTTTATTTTTTTAAGAATTTATATTAAATTCTATTTAAAACGAGTCTGACTTAGTATAATTTTTTATATTATTTTGACAATTATAAAATCGAATGTGATAACAATATTTATAAAGTATAATAGTTATAATCAATTATACAAATTTTGTTTTATTTATGACTATACGTGTGGTAGAGGCAGAGTCCACCATTCTATCTTATCACGTAATAAGTGACGGAAAAATCAAATAGCAGTTGGCAGAATAACATTTTACTTATACCCGACAAAATAACTTTTGACCCCAGATATATATAATAATAATAATAATAATGTCCTCCAGACCGAATTTCGGCTACGGCGGCCTGCCTCAACGGAGGCTAGCCATCGGCGCAGGACAGGATTATAGTGCCCAAGTGTATGCGCAAGCACAGATGCACTCTGTTCTCTCACTCTCATAATCCGATGGAACGGTAAACCGACACGACCGGAGAGAGAGCAGGCGCAGGCCAACGGCTTTACGTGCTTTCCGAGGCACGGGGGTGAGACACCGCCAACTTCCTGACTCCGGGCAACTACTGAGAATTTCTTGATGGAAAAACTCAGTAATTAATTATATAATATGTAACGTAATTAACGCACACCCTCAGACACCCCAATTAGTATATTATGTTATAATCATAATACATACACTGAATTTTTGGTTAAGCATTTTTATGCACTGATTATTTATCAAATTAGTTATACTAATTCCGAAAGAATGTTGTGGTACAGTACAAATCCACGGAACGCAAAGATTTTAACATGCTTGAAATATAGTTCATTTTTCTTTATTTTTATTGAATGACAGAATTAGTAATAATACAAATAAAACTGCACTCTTAAAAGTCTTATTGCCTTAAGTTACGGTCCATTTCAGTTTGGTTTGACTGTACAGATTTAGTGTGACTGTAATTTAGTCAGCGTCTAGAGAAGCCAGAAAACTGCCTGTTATAAAACTTTTTAAAATAGTCCAAATATTTTTTTAATACAAAAATGTTTTTAAAATTAACCCTGCTGCTATAGATGCGCCACTCTATCTTAACGAATTCAATTTACAAACATAATATGAATGAACAGTCTTCAAGAGTATTAAATAATCACTATGTTTTACGCAGTTTCTTATAGGTTCCTCCTTTTTTCTTAGTTCATAAAAGTTGACTGATGAATGTGGGTTTCTCCCACTCTTTATAGGTTCACTACTTAAGTACCCTCAGACCACTGACCTCTATGTATATATAGAGATCAGTGCCTCAGACGAACAAAGAATGGTGGACAAAACACTAAGTACGTTTTAAGCGATACTAAACAAAATCTCCCAAGGGGGATATTGGCAAATATTTACCTTATGAGTCAATCTAAGCGAAGCCTAATGCCAGAAGTGGACTTTGTTACGCTATAATTATAATAATGAAGTGGCACCGAAACAGAGCTACACGGGCCACCGGCAGGTCGGATCCATACTCATAGACTCTTCGTTATAAAAAGACTATGATATAAACTAAATCTAGTTGCGCGGCTGAATCAACGTCCTACAAAAATGCCGAATTGTTCAGTTTTTTGCTAAAAAAGAGATGAGTCACGTGAAATTCAGAGAAATATTTGGCGTTACTTTTCATAAAGAGCCATGTTGTTTCAGATTTGTTTACTAACTTAGTCCGTCCTCATACAATTTGTATGCGGATTGTTCGTGACTGATCCGAGTTGTCGCTGTCACCAAGGGATGGTGTTATCTATACATGTAATAAAATAGTAACGAAAGAAAAATTGTACATTGAGAATTTTCGAGAAAAAATCAGTGGCTTTTGTTAGAAAAACTTAACTGATGACAAAAAGTGGCTTTTTAGAATTTTTGTCTGTTTGTCTGTGTGTATGGTACGGCTTCACGCCAAAACTACTGGATAGATTGAATTGAAATTCAGCAAAAATGTTCTTTGTAAACCGAGGAAGGCTTTAGGCTACATATTATCACGCCGTATGTTATATTAGGTAAGCAATATTGATTTTAAAAGGTTTTTCTTCGTAATTGAATGCACAAAATGACATATTATTTATTAGTTAAAATAAAAATAAAAATTTAACTCTGGGAACATAATAATCACGCTATTTTTATAAAGAAGCGGGGCAGTAATATTATAAATTGCAAGGGAACAGCTGTTTAACAATATGTCAACGGGGAATTTAGCGGTAAGGTCAGGCGACCGTTTACCGCATTAAATCCCATAATATTGTTTTGAAAAATCGTAATTTTTTTTAATTTTTGCATTTTTTATGTGCATTAGGAAATCTGAGAACTTTACATGTCCTATCTAATTGTATGGAGAGTTTCACACCAATATTACTAAACAGATTAATTGGTGGTACAAAAATTACACTATCATGAAGTCAAGTCAAACTTTTGTTTCTAAGTTATATCTTACGCTTGGTAATTCTACGCCTGGTATCTAACATTTGTTGTAGGTAATTGATTTAAGTATGTAATTCTTAGTTTTGTTCCTTGCTGCTGTTACCATATTTTTTTAATGCAAAAATAATGTACTTGTCTGTTAAATTAACGACAATTTAGTTTTAATTCATAATTTAATTAATTCATTTGGGTAAATAATATGTAGTTTCCGTTTTCTAACTAGATGGCGTTGGCGTCGAGTTAGATCGCGCAATGGTTTCGTTCCCAAAAAGTGATGTTTATAAGTGCCGATGGACCGCTCTCATCCTACAGAAACGGGGGTTACCTTTGTTGTCTGTGTTGGTTGATGTGTTTTATTTTCCTGCGAATAATTATTATTTTTCTACTTACTAGCAATTCTCACGTACTTATTCGATTACTTTTGATTGTTTTGAATATCGTTAGTATCGGATTAAGAAGGAATTTTAGCTATGCCATTTAGAAAAGGATCAAATCTGTCTCGTAACTCAAGGGTTTCTAAGATGTGCAGGTTAGTTGGATCTCTCAACGCCGACGCAGAGCGTGAACAATGGCTAGGTGCTAACCGTGAGCTTAATGCACTAATTTTGTCCGCAGAAACTAGCACGCAGAGCCAATTACGACTAGAATTTAAACGAGTTCGCACTACTGTTTCTCGATCTCAGGAAAGTGTGGAACAACGAGAAATGCGTTTAGCTATCGACCGGGATCGTAATTCTTTCTTTCGTGCATCCGAAACGGTTACACAGAGGGATCAGAGGTTGAGTCTTCAGAATATCCGCTCTGGGACTGCTCGATCACTTGAGAGCAGTCAGGGCGTGAGCTACGACTTGCGCGTGACCGAGAGCGTCATTCTTTATCTCGCGCTTCCGAAACGGATACAGAGAGAGAGCAGAGATTAAGTCTTCAGCTTTTCCGCACTGAGACTGCTCGGTCGCTCGAGAACAGTCAGGAGCGCGATACAAGCCAAGTCAAGCTTGCGATCGCGAGCGCCACGCAGTATCTCGCGCTTCGGAGACTTACACGCAGAGAGACTCGCGTTTAAGCTCCCAACGTATTCGCACTGCCACATCTCGATCACTTGAGAATCCTGAAGAACATGAGACGCGCCTTAGTGCAGACCGCTCACAGCATGCTCTAGCTCGGTCTTTGGAGACAGACGAGCAGCGCTAGCAACGCAACGCACTTGCTCGGCAAAGATATCACGACATCCGTGTTGAGGTGTCTGTTCATTCCACGCAAGAACGTGAGCGGATTCAGGAAATTCGGGCAAGTCAGTCAGTCGAACAGCGTGTGGCCCAAATTGATCTAGACCGTATACGTCGCAATCTTCGCAATTCATCCTCATCTGATACTGAGTCTAGGGTTTATGATCCTGAAGAGCAACCGTGGTTCAATAAAGAAAGGAGCGCGTTTTCCTATCACCCATTTATTAATTACATCGAACACGGAGACATTGGCACCATGTCTGAGGTG